TATACTATAATATACCATAATGCAGAAGCGCAGACACCCAAGCAGATTGGACAGGATGCAGCGTCAACTTGAGAGGGGGCTCTGACGCGTGCAGACTCTGCCTTCAACAACGAATCAATACATGTCTGAGAGGTTTTCTTACCGCCTGTAACCCTAAACCCTATATCCAAAACTGGTATGTCCTACATCCAAAAAGGATGGCTGGAATTGCGTGACTTCGTTAGTGTTTTAGACAAACCATGTGAGATTTCTGAGCAGCCCTGGCTGAGTTTCTCACGAGGGACGCCTAAACGCCAATTTCAGTCCGGGGTACCCTTCTAGGGTTTCCCAGAAAAAGGATGATAGTATTTGGGGGTCTATATTTGAGTCCACCTATTTCGGGAAGCCACCATGTTCATACACTTATACATGCACATGCAAAGATGCATATCACGCCTTGCGTAACCACAAGACACTCCCAAGGACGTTTTGGTTTAGGGGTTTAGGGTAAAGTTTAAGGCAACACTTGTGGGCATCCGTGAAAAAACAGTCATCTAGAAACCTCACTCAAGGTCCCCATGTCTCGTTCCTAAAAACCCTAGGAGCACTAAGGGCCTTCAATTTTGAGAACCAACCCTACACCCTAAACCCTAAACCCTAAACACTAAACCCTAAACCCTAAACCCTGAACCATAAAACCTAACTAGAGAAACGTCAGGCATACCGACCGCAGGGACGACCTGAGCCTTGCCCCGCTGGAAACTTTCAGGGGCTTTGGGGTTTAGGGTTTAGGGTTCAGGGTTCAGGGTTTAGGGTTTAGGGTTTAGGGTAAGGATGGAAACTACTTTGGTACATTGGGGCTATGTTGGGATAATGGAAAATTACAGGGTTTAGTCTACCTGTGACCCCAAGAAAGCTCAACTTGTAGGACACCGCGGGGTAATCTCTTGGTGATATCATCACATGAAATCCTCAAGCTGAAGGTCTTTGAGTCTATGGTAAGGCGTGCTTTGCCTGGTAATCATGGCTGTAGCTGGGATACAAAATTATTGATGCGAAGTAGGTCATACTGTCTCTTCTGGTAGGGTCCGGGCTTGGTGTTTATGATCCAAGTTTTAGTAGAGTTGCATGTCCCCTAAGACCGCGTGATTCCAGATTCTGCCTTGCAGATGGCTCCAAGGCAAGGGACTAAGCTTTCAGGGGAAGGTTAGCTTCTGTGCTCGCCGATAGTTTCTGGGTTTAGATGGTGGCACTTCCGGGGCATGACAGCATGGGGTGAGGATGCCATGTCTGAAAACACAATCAGCATGATTGGAACTAGTTCAAATTATGGTATCGTTATCCAAAAAGGATAAAGGTACAACGGGTTAAAAGTATTGCTTTGCCATATATAACCTAGGGGATAACTAATCAAGGAGGTTTTCTGGGCGGCAAGCCATGCTGTTGGAATCTGATGTTGGTCCGCTATAAAATGTAGTACACAAATGTTTGGGCTGCTGTCTGCCTGGATCATCTCTCTTCTGTTCGTTAGTCCTTTAGAAAGTAAGCTTTAGGGTCTAGGGGCTTAGGGTTTAGGGCTTTGATCGTTGTAGGGTTGTGTCTGGGCTTTCCTGGGGTGATTGTCGTCCCGACATTGGGGAAACTAGCATCTGCATGCAGCCTCATCGGCCTCGCCAATCCTTGTAGTTCGAAGGGGGGTCGCACCCTTCCGGTTTTTCCTGTACTCTGATCCCCCATGAAAGCGCCACTGCAATTCAGAGATCTTTTGGAGTCTCGGGGTCCAACCTCGAACCCTCAGATTGGTCCCGGTGGCAGGGAGTGCAGTTTCTCAAACATATATGAATCGTACTTCCGGGGTTGCCAGCAGAACCATGGTGCCTCCACAATCAGCTGGGGCGAAGCCTGTATCGCTACAAGAACCGCCCTTGAAGGGCTTTCACCTTGCAAACTGCGCGTTGGAGAAACAGCTCAGCCAGGGCTCATGAAAACTGCGTTTTCATCACGGCGTCTCTTGATTGCGACATCTGTGTTATACGGCTGGTACTACCTTTTTCTGTTATGGCGACGGCAACCCTGATGCTTAGACAGAGCGAAGGACTTCCGCAGAGCTTCAGCTCGCAAAGCGCTGTCACGGAGCTCATATAGAGACGCTTTCTCAGGAGGCCGCGGACAGATGCAACACATGTTGCAGTTATGTGGGCAAGGTTTCTTGAGACCGGATGTAGTATTCGAAATCACCAGTTTCTTTTGTGGTGGCGTCGGTTTTTGTTTTTGTGGTGGAACCCCGCCTTGCTCGGCCGTCTCAATGACGTAGGCTTTACTTTTGTCTTCGCAGAATGGAGGGTGGGATGGGTTTCGGATGAAGTGCCGGGATGTTCTGGAAATGGAGGGGTTCGGGGTATTTGTAACCCAAGGATCACCATCAGTAGGGCATTCGCGAGTGTTCACAACCGTGAATCATTAATCCATCACTTGTCCCTGATTAATGATACGTAATATAGCCCATGTATGAGCCCGCCATCACGTATGCCAGTATTCCAGGCCTCCCAGTTTCCTGCATACATGGCCAGCATGTGCTACTGAGTGCTTGCCTAGCCTCAGTTTGGGCCGAGTGCAGTCGCAAGAATTTTGAGGACTGCATTTAAAACATCTCAGATTGTGCTTTATGTTTTGCTGGCTTTGAAAGTAGACGGTCAGAGCTCGTTGTTTCAGAGGACTGAAGCCAGCATTGTTGGAAAGTTAGGTGCGTTGCCGGTTCATACTTTTTCATCACAGAGCAACGAGAACCCAAACTGCTTCCATGGGGTTGTTTGCGAGCTATACGAGACGTTAGCTGCAGTTGAATTTCAGGACGTCAGCAAAGATGTCGATCCCTGTTGTGCGGTTTCAGCCCAAATTAACATTGCAAGTTCAGAGTGACTTGTTAGTAGCAGGTATGAACAGGAAGCCGACCCACAACGTATTCAGGACCTTGAGAATCACACCTCAAGTACTTCGTTCTCTGTGGTGTTAAAGGTCACAGCTGTTGGATCTCATTACCTGCTCATTCACTACGACGTGCCCTACCTCAATGCAGAGACTTTCAAGCTGAAGGTGTGTGGCCTTGTAGACAAGGAGCGGCAGGATTTGTGGCAATCTTTAGGCAAGTTTTGCCCTCCCTTACTAACATGGAACCATATGGAACCCACATTTCTTATTTGCTTGTTCTTCAAAAGGCAATAGCCTTTTCAGATGACGCTTTTCTGGATTCCATAAGGTAGGTGTGGCTGCTCACAGTTTGGGCCGTTGTGGGTTAGGCGTTGCTTCTCTACATTGCTATACTTGGAGGCCCATGGGACGTAGTAGCTACTTATAATTGGGATGATGACCCTACTTATAATTGGGGGGATTATAAGTGGGGTTATAAGCCAAGTTATAAGTGGTTGCTAAGTCCCATGGGCCTCCAAGCAAGCCTTCTTCTGCATCCGCAGTCCTTGCACTTGGGAGTGGAGGCTGCATGCATTTCAATCTCACAGGCCTTTTGATCTGCCACAAGGGACTGATGTAACGCAAGATGGGGTTATGTAGGGTTGAGGGTTGAGGGTTTAGGGGTTTAGGGGTTTACGGGTAGTGATGTTTTTTTCTTGGATATGCAATGGTCTGGGCACTGGAATTGTTGTCTCATGCATGCCAGCCATCAATAGCATTTTCTTGGTGGGAGCAGTTCCAAGTTTGCTGGATACTAGTAGTACAATTACGTACTCATACACCTCCTAGTACTGTTCTGAGTGTTCCTTGTTCTTGACCCACAACCTTGAGTCGATTTCTTCAGACTTGTGTCAGGGGTTGTGCTGCTACGCCTTAAGAGTATTTTTCTCAGAATTTAATCTTATTAGGCCTTATGACGCCTTATATAGGCCTGATTAGCTCCTTACACTTGGGGGCAGGGAGGGAACCTAGATCCTAAACCCCAAATCCTAAACCCTAAATCCTAAATGCTAAACCCTAAACCTCTCTTACCATGTATATGTAAACCTTCATGTCATTCGTGGGATAAAACCCTAAACCCTAAACCCTAAACCCTATGAGGCCCTCACAAGGCCAGGCCACGGCCAGACTTTATCCCACGAGGGGCTCCAGGATGTGAGCTATAGTCTAAACTCCTTAAAGGGGGGTTATATAGGGGATTATATCGGGTTTAGGGTTTAGGGTTTAGGGTTTAGGGTCTAAACTCCTTAAAGGGGGGGTTATATAGGGGATTATATAGGGGACTACCTTAGGGGATATTAAGGGGGATACT